TTTTTTTTTTTTTTTTTTTTTTTTTTTTTTGCTTTGAGGAGCAGACTCTGAGTGCTCAGAGCACCCTCAGGAGACGCCCAACCCGTAGCAAACTCCCAGAAAACTCAGGATGCCAGATAGAAGCGTGCAGAAAGAATGGCCAGCACTGGTTGGGGTTCTGCCTTCTCGGGGCTGGACAGGATCCACCAGGAAGTCTGTCTGTCTGTCTGTCTGAGGCTCTGTGTGTCGGATCTTAGGATAAGTGGTACATGCTGTATCCAACGGGAGTGGCGTAGAGTCCGACGGGCGGGATGGGGAGCACAGGTCTGTGAAAAGGGTAGGATGTGCCGTACAGGGAGGCAGCCTGGATGGGGGAGTTGATGGGGAAAGGGAGGCTGAACCCCGACGGCAACATGGGCTTGGCTGCCATTTTGAGCTTCTCCAGCTCGGCCTCCTGCAGTCTCTTGGCCTTGGCCCTCCGATTCTGGAACCAGATTTTGACCTGGGTCTCTGTGAGGTTGAGGGAGCTGGAGAACTCGGCTCTCTCGGCGATGGACAGGTACTGCTTCTGGCGGAACTTGCGCTCCAGAGCCAGCAGCTGGGAGGTGGTGAACGGGGTCCGCGGCTTTCTGTTCGTCTTGTGCTTCCTCAGGGTGCAGGCAGTGGGGCTCAGGTGTCCTGCAAGGAAGGGAGAGGGGTTAGCACAGCAGCAGGGACACCCCGGAGCTCTGCTGGGTGTCCCAAGGGTCCCCTCCGAACACGGCATCCTTTGCCAAGGGGCTCTGGAAATCTTTTCCTGCCCAAACTTAAATTCACTGCACTTCAGTGGATGGAAGGGAGATTTTGCCTCAGCGGTTTCAAAGGGGACAGAGAATTCACAGGTCGCTTTGGGAGTCACTTCACAGGGGTCTAGAGCACACAAACCAACTGCCTGCACAGCTCCAGGAAAGCACAAACGCCACAAAAGCAGGAGATTCCCAAAATTACAGTGAGGTAAGAGGAGAGCCCAGCCCTGCTCCAGGATTTCCCCACTAAGCACAACAAGTGACAGCTGAAGAAGGTCTGACAGCTTTTGTGGTTTCACTCACTGGACATTTTTTCTTGCTATTTTTTTTCTTCCAAATCAAGTTTTTCCTCTGATTATTAATTTTGATTTTCAGTGGGTGTTTTCTGATTATCAACCAGTATAAAAACCCAGCAAGCTCAAAAAAGAAAGCAGCGCTCTTTTAATTCAACATTCAGCTTTTATAACATTTGCCAATTAAAAAATTAACCAAAACCCAGAAAAAACTTCAGCACTTTGTAGCCAATAAAAGCCAGAAAATCCACCACCTTTTGTGCCTGCCTTAAACCCCAGCCAGGTTAGGCAATATTCCCGGGATGGCAGAGCGCTGACTTGCCTTTAGATGAATTTAGCACTTCATTAATAATTTTGCAATCTAAAGAATAACTAAAAAGCAGGCGGCCGACTTCAAAAGCTCGGTAATTTGGCTGTGATTTGCTCACTCCGGGGCACAGGACAAGTCACCCTGGCTGGACACAGCAGTGACACCCAGGCTGCTGAATTTGGTTCACATTGTGGTGGTGTCTGCTTCAAGCTCTTGTCGGTATTTGCACTTTGGGTTTTCTGTACTCGTTTCACTTTTTTCTTTTATTTTTTAAAATAAGCCAGACTAAGAAGCTGTTTAAGCACGTATCATATAATTTTAAAAAATCCCACGAGGGAATTTGTTCTAAAGTTCAGAAAGGGGAGGGAGAAAACGCAGCAGAAAAAGTTAAACTTTTCTTATTGTTCTTCCTCTAGAGTACAAAACACCGAAATACTGAAAACAAAAAAAATAAAGCTCTTCTAGGAAACAACTTTTCAAATGCTGGCCTGTGACCTCACCAGGGCATTTTAATAATTCAGGTGCTCACTGTGACAGCTGATTCCCTTCTCAAACTGCACTAAATTCAAACTGCAGCACACCGACCCTGACTCCCTGCCGCTCCCCGCGTTGTTCCACGCTGGTTTTAAACCCAGCTCCTTTCTCTCCCCACGGCGAAGCCCTCCCAGGACTGGGACAGGTTTTGGGGTGCCCGTGGCTCCCTGTCCCAGCGGCCCTGGGGTGAGCCCGACCCGCCCCGGCTCCAGGAACAGAAACAGAAACGCGCTTCTCCCGGGAAATACTCCATGAAATCCCGGGAAATATTCCACGAATTCCCGGGAAATACTCCATGAAATCCCGGGAAATATTCCGCAGCACACCGACCCTGACTCCCTGCCGCTCCCCGCGTTGTTCCACGCTGGTTTTAAACCCAGTCCTTTCTCTCCCCACGGCGAAGCCCTCCCAGGACTGGGACAGGTTTTGGGGTGCCCGTGGCTCCCTGTCCCAGCGGCCCTGGGGTGAGCCCGACCCGCCCCGGCTCCAGGAACAGAAACAGAAACGCGCTTCTCCCGGGAAATACTCCATGAAATCCCGGGAAATATTCCACGAATTCCCGGGAAATACTCCATGAAATCCCGGGAAATATTCCCTCCAGGAGACAGCCCGGCGTTCCCAGGCTGCTTCCCAGGGGACTGCCGGGCTCCGAGGAGCAGCGGGGACCCGGGATTGCGTTTGTCCCGTGCCAGTCCCCAGACTGATTTGTTCCCCCTCGCTGATTTGTTTCGCTGGTTTTTTTTCTCTTTATCCTCCTTTTCCTGCCCAATATCGGACAAAAAAACCCCATAATTTGGACAGGGTTCCCTCTCCGTGTTCCTCAAAATTCGAACTTTTCCAGCATTTCCCCCAGCTCATCCCACCCGTAATATTAATATTGATAATAATAAATCGAGGGGCTGTTTTTAATGTCAAAACTCCCATGGACAGGCGGTTTTCCTGCGGGAAAATCGCTCATTGCCTCCTGCCGAGGTGGGAAATGAGGAAAAGGGTCGAGGCTGAAGGACTTTACCCTCCCTGATCCTCAGTTTTCTCCCCAAATCCCTCTGAAGTCACGGGAACTCCCAGCTACCGAAATCCTACACAAAACTCTTTTGCCGATCCCGAGAAGAAACAATTCTCAAAGAGAAAGAGGAGGAATTTCGAAGGGGAAAAAAATATAGAGGGAGATTATTAGGCCCTGTCTAAGTCTGGGGTTTTGGGCAGATTTAGAGAAGGGGTTCAAGTAGGGGCACACACTTTTTTTTCTGTGTTTTTTTCCAGCACATTTGAGGGTACATGAAAATGAAAAACTGGAGCTACACAGGGAATGCCTTCCTCCTGCCCTCTCCCAGCACGATAGAAATCAAATTAATTCGGGGTTATCATAAGACAAAGGAAGTGGATGAAAGCCAAATCGAAATTATTGTTAAAAGAAAAAAAAAAAAAATAAGGAAAGCTGTAACGACACTAAACTTTCCTCTCGCAATATTAGACTGAGGAGTAAATTCCGTGAGCCAGTTCACGCCTGTTAAGTCTCTAACTTAAATAAAGCAGAGGATTTAATTCCCACCAGGGAAGTTTGGGATGCGCGGAGGAGAGCGGACAAACCCTGGCACAGGTGTGCGGCCACCGCGAGGCAGGGATGCTCCTTCCCCTTCTCGGAACGATCTTTGCGGGTTTTAAATCCCTAAAAAGCAATTTTTTTCCCCCGTTTATTTTGTAAGGGATGGCCCCGAAAGCGAAAGGCGGCTCGGACTGCCAGGGGGGTTTCGGAGGTGATCTGTCACCTCCGCACCGAGGGTCCCTAAGGCGGGGGACGGCGTCGGGAGGGATCGGAGGGGGACACAAAGGGGTCAGGAGCAGTTCGGGGAACTCGGACAGGCTCCGGAGCCAGGGATGGAGGGACAGACCCCGCGCCGGGAGCCAGCTCCAGGTTAGAAAGGAGAATTCCCGAGTTCAAGAGATTGCAGCGCACCGCGGATGGGAGAAAGGCACGGGGAGAAATTGCAGTTGTTGTCGCAAGGGGATAACATAAATGGACGAAGTGGCTGCCAGGGGGCCTCGAGTAGGGACAGGAGCTGCTCCCTGGTGATTTCTGATCTTTCTAAGGCTTTGAAAGCGGTTTATGTTCATATACATGCGTGTAGTCATGTATAGGAACATTTAACTCTATAAACACATAATAATCTCAATATATTATAATAATTTTATAACATATATGTAACATACGGGAATACGACACACATATGAATCCCTATAAAAGTACAGCGGAATCGCAGAATATTTTAGGTTGGAAAGGATCTCAAATCCATCGGCAGCGACACCTTCCCCTAGACCAGCTCGCTCAGGGCCCCATCCAACCGGGCCCTCGGACGGGAACATCGGACATAAAACACGGGATGTACATGTACGTGTCTCCGTGCTGCGGCGCATCCCGCCCGCCCCCGGCGCACTCACTTGGCGGCGGGGAAAATCTCCCGGCCTCCGAGGGGATCCAGGACGAGCCGTCCTCCGAGTTCTCCGACTTGACCGAGGCGGTGTCGAAGGTTTTTGTAAGCGCCCCGGGCGGGCTGTGCGCCTCCCGGGAGCCGTGCCCCGCCAGCAGCAGGTTCCTGGAGGTGCCCACGGCCGCCCCGTCCGCGCTGCCGCCGGCCGCGGGCAGCGGCGGCTCCTTGGGGGGCGGCTTCTTGTCGGACATGAGCGCTTCCACGCTGAACGGCAGGCTCGACACCTTCACTTTGTGGTGCTCCTCGGCGCCGGCCGCCGCGCCCTCCTCGTCGGAGGAGAAGACGTCCTTGGCCTTGTGCGGGGAAGCCATGGCGGTGCGGCGGAGCTGGCGCTGCCCGGCGAGTGCGGCGAGCGGGCCCGGCCGCCCCCCTTTTCCCCCTCTGGGGCTCCCCGCCGCTGTCCTCCTTGGGCGAGCGGGGGAGCCGCCCCGCCGCCCAATCAGCGCCCGCCGTGCCGCGTGACGTCGAGAGAGGCGGCCTCCCATTGGGTGAGAGCGAGGAGAGGGGGCGGGCCCAGCCGGCGCCGCTCGAGAGGAGTTCCCCGGCCGCCCCCCCCCACCTCGCCCGGCCCGGTCGCAATTAATGACACGGGGTTAATGACACGGGCGGCCCGCCGAGGAGCCGTGCAGGGCTGTAATCACAGCAAAGCCAGGGGAAGGAAAAAAAAATAAATAAAAAAACCCGCCGCGGTAATTAAGGCTGATGATGATGAGGCGAAGAGGGAGCTTCAGAGGAACGCGGCTCTGCCCCCCCATCCTCGCCGCCGGCTCCGCTCCTCCCGGGGCACCCCGGGCTCACCGCGGCACCCCCGGGCTCATCCCGGCTCATCGCCGTCCCCCGACCCTCCCGGAGCGGGGTCTGTACCCCCTTCCTTCCATCTCCCCAAAAATCGCGTCCCTTTCCCGAAGGAGCGGGGTCTGGGGATGCGGGATTCGGGATTCGGGATGTGAGATTCGCGATTTGGGATGAAGGAGACGGGATGCAGACCCCCGGAGAAACGTGCGCTGGTGTTTTTTCTTCCATTTTTTTTTATTGTTTGCGTTTCCACGGCAGCAGGACCCAAGTCGGGCAAAACCACTCTGCAGAGGTTAGATCTGTAATTTTTTTTTTTTTCCAGCGTCAATTATACACGTGATGAAAAGATGAGCTTTAATAAATTAGGGGCACGCAGCCCTTAATTAAAAGTCATATCAAACCAGTACTATGAAAGCGATTCTCTCACTTTTTGACTTCCTACCAGTGGTATGAATAAAGAGTGTCCTGTAAAAAAGCTTTTATAATTACAGCGCGCATAAAAGCGAATACATATTGTTCTTTTCATAATTATTTTAATATTGCGCCGGGCGTTATTTCATGCTGTGCCCGCAACTTTCTCAGGTGTTTAGTTTGTTTGGTTTTGTTGGTTTTGTTTTCTTTTGTTTTTAACGTCCAGGGTGCGCAGAGCTTGCGAGCTGTTTTGGTGTTACAATTTACAAGTGAGGGCCATTTTTAGAGCCACTAAAAACCACTGAGAAGACGACAGGCACAACTCCTCTCCCCAAGCCCCCGAATTCAGGGGCAGCTCGAAGCTGCTCGGTCCTGCAGGGCTCTGACCACGAACGTTCGGATAGATCCCCTCCATAACACACGGAGGGTTTAACCAGCTCATCTTTCGCTCTATTTAAACTCCTGATTTCCCTGCCAGCTCATGGAGCAGCCTTGGAAGTCCCCAGCCCTGCAAATTGCGAGTTCCCAGCCCGGGGATGGGGTGTAGGAGCGCCCTGTGCTGGGGGCACTCTCTGTCCCAAAACCAAGAGGATTTAAAGGATGCAAAATGACTTATCCCCATTATTTTCTGTACATATTAGACAAACCCCTCTTTTTCAGAACCCAGGGACCCCTTTACGGCCCTGCTCATCCCTCCCCACTGCTCAGCACCGAACACCGAGCGGCCCCAGCCCTGATAAGATCGCTCCCGGTGCCAGGGAGAGCAAATTGGGAGCGGGGCACGGGATGGCCGCGTGGGAAGGAGCGTGGGAGGAGGTGTACGAGAAGCCGTGTTACAAAACCCCACTCATCAGCGGCACTAATAGCAGGGTTTGCACCCTCATTGCTGATTGCTGGCGGTGTTACTGCACACCTCGATGGGTTAAGGATTAAAGATCTGCCAAGAGAAGCGATGCTTTCCTCTGCCTCGGTCCAGCCGGCCTGGCTGCAACATTTCAGCCGGCAGAGCCCCGATCAGGGCTTTTCTCCGAGGATGAGAATAATGCCACAAACTGATGCTTCTCCCCCTGCTCTTGCCCAGTTTGTCACTTCTCCGTCCCCACAAAACCCATCTCTTTGCCGGGAAACACTCACAGAGGCAGCAGCCAGGCAGCCCCGGCCTTGCAAAGCTCAGCTGCTGCAGTGGGGTTGACTTTGTCCCTCTTCTCCCCCCTCCTTCCCCTTCCTTTCCCTTCTCCACGCTTCCTGCACCGTGACAAGTAAATGAGAATTGATGGACACGCAGGAACAATGCCGGTGTGTCGGGGACAATGCAGCGCCCGTGGAAAGCCATTGTGGGGCTGCTGAAAATGCCGCAGATAATTGCACCGCGCCCCCACAGCCAATGCCCGCTGGAAGGGCGCCTGGGGAACGGCAGCTCGGGGTCGTGGTGACATCGAGCACGTCCCTTGGGTGCTGGTTCTCTCCCCAGGTGCCCGCTTGTGGCCCGGGTGTGCCAGCTGCGTCCCCGTGGGCTTGGAGAGGTTCCTGCGAGCTGCCATCCCTTGGCTGTCGGAGCTGTGAGCACAGGTTGGCTCATCCAGCCTGGTCTGGATGAATTTTGGGTGCTACAGAGGCGCCTGGGATAGCAAAGCATGGCAGGGTTTGCTCATGGTGTTTTCCCTCTTCAGCCTCAGTCCATCGCGAAATTGGAGCATTTTCTGTCTAAAGGCTGAATTTAGAGATTTCTCTTCTCTCTCAGCCCTCTCTTCCTTCATCCTCCTGCTGTCAGTCAAGCATCAGAGGCTGAAGTCCCACGCGGTACCGAATGTCCGCACGGAACCCTCGCCGAGAAGGGGTTCGGAGAGAAATTTCAAGGAATTAAAGCTTTGCCCCCTACCCAGGATCCCAGAGCGGCCGCCCAGCCTCAGACTAGCAGGGAATTCTCCCAGCCCGAGGAAAAACGACGGGAGTCCGGGGGCTTTCCCCCGCGCCGGGCTCCCCTTTGTGACCCCGCTGGGACCCCAGGCCCGGGGCGGGCGGTCCCCGGGGCTTGGCCGGGGGGGCTCTGTGGAACCGGGCCAGTTCTGGGGGTGGCCGGGTTCTAGGGATGCCCAGAAAGCCCCCAGCCCCCCGTGGCCCTCTGCCTCTCCCCCGCCCTCCCGCAGCATCAGCCCCGTGAGCCGGGGCCTGTCCTGGGGCTCTCAGCTGGAGCGGGGCGGGGAAGGAGGGAGCACAGGGGGAAGAGAGACGCTGCAGACAAACTGAGGCTGTTTTGCAGGCGCCAGGAGCGGGGAGATGAAAGGGAAGCTCCTGGGGGAAGTGGCTGTGCAGTTTGACCGGCTCCAGCAGCAGCAACAGCAGCAGCAGCAGCAGCAGCAGCAGCGACTTCCCGTCCCGGCCAGCTCCGCCTCCCCCTCCGCCTCCCCCTCTGCCTCCCCCGGGCTCCAGGCTGTCCCTGAGCCCACCCCCGCCTCGCTTTTCCCAGCCTGGAGGCGGAGGGAGGTGTCGGGCGGGCACTGCCGCAGCATCCTCGCTCCTGCATCCATGAGCCGGGAGCAGCATCCCCGCCACGGAATTCCGCAGCATCGCTGGGCTGGGACAGCCGGGGATGCTGGATTTGGGGCAGGGGGCTGTCCGACACCCCCTCCCTGCCCTTATCGGTGTAAATCAGGAGGGAACTCACTGGAAGCATTACACCAACGGTGTCCTGTGTCCCCAGTCCCGTAAAGCACCGGCCCCTGTCCCTCACAGACACCTCGGGAGGACAAAACACCCGTGGGCAATGGGGAGAGAGTTTATTCTCCGGGAGGAAAAACCTCACGAACATTTCCCCTCCTTTTATGATCGATTTGGTTGATAATCCGTTTTCTAGAGACACGAAGGGGTTTTTTTTTTTTTTGTTTAACGACCCCCTGCGAGGGTTAATAATCCGTTTTCTAGAGACAGGAAGGGGTTTTTTTTTTTTTTTTTTTTTTTTTTTTTGTTTAACGACCCCCTGCGAGGCTGGCGTGTGGACATCCTTCAGAGAAGGAAGATAAGGCTCCCGATTTGACCGGAAAAAGAAAGGCGGGAAAATGGAATCAGAGTGTGCATCAAGTGTAAGTTTTGCCCCGAAACGAGGTGTACACCGAGGGAATGTTTGATGTGTCAGAGGCTGGGAGATTATGGTTTCATCGCCTTGCCCCAGATGAGACCCGGAGCCAAGAGCAAGGCGTTGCATTAACAGTAATACGCGTTTATCTCCAGACGCTAGAAAGGAATTAAAGCGAGCTGAACATCAGAGCTTCCGAGGGATCAGGGCTGGTTACCGACGCCTCGATCTAGATCCACCTCTGACTCCCGCAGCCGTTTTGGCTGGCAGCTCTTGGCTGCCGAGCCAGCTCCGAGCGCCGTGCGAGGGGACCCTTCCCCGAGCATCCTCCGGGGGGACGCGTCCCGCACAGCCCTGGGGGCTCCGTGCCATGGAGCCGAGCTGCACCGAGTGCAACCACGCGTTGTAATTGTCCCCTGTGTCACCCGACAATGGTCCCCGGTGCCATCCGCTCGTTGGGACAGCGAGAGCTCAACGAGCCGCGCTGGTTGCACAACGCCGGCGTCTCCTGTCGCACCCGCCCAGGGTTGTGCTCTCCCTCTCTCTGCGCAGGTATTTGATTTACCAGCAGATATTTGTTCTGCTTGGCAAGAGGCAGGGGATAGCTGGGAGAGATCAGATGTCTTCCTGCTCAAAGCAATTAACAGTTTTGCCCTTAAGGATTGAAAACAATTCCCCCCCCCCCCCCCCCCCCGATTTCCCA